TCACTCTCATGCCGCGTGAAGACCAGATCTAAGGTTTGTGCCCTATCCGGGTACGCGTTGGTTCTCTTACGTGCTGGTAGAGCGATGCCGCATAGAAGCAGTTCATGAATTCATTTTCTGCTTGCCCCTTTCTCTCGTCTTTATACTGTCATTCTATTCCGGGGAGATTGAAACCCCTACTATAATCAGCGAGAGATTCCCCCGACTGTAGCAATGAGGTCTATTAGCGCTCGATCATCCTCCGGTCCAGAATTTGGTGATCTGTAGAAGGCTAATATGCAGAAGTGTCGGCCTCTGTTTCAATACACTGATACAGCCTCAATATTGTATTTGTGGAATACAAAGTTTATCGGCAAATGCCCTCATGAGTATAGTCACCCAGTTATTCCATCTTAATAAACACGACTCTTAATTTTTTCCTTTTAATATGCCGTGACTCTTGCCAGCAATGCTGCTGTGTACACACACATTAACGAAATATTATCAGTACACTGATCGAGTTTTGCAGCGAACAAGGATCCATCTCAGGGATATATATGTCATAACGTTTCTTCGTCAACTTACAACAGCGCATATGATACCCAAGTTGGCAGCGTTTGCACTGCATACCCTCGGCCACATAGTTTCCACAATCGCCACACTCGTTCACATCTGTACTTACAGATATTTGAAAAATGAAATGTTTGAAAATTTCAACACTGATAAGAAAGACCACTTAGAAACCTGGAAAAGCAGAAAACAGTTGTACGGCACAAGACAGTAAATAAAACTGCTTACACAAAACGATTCACTACCAAGGAACGCTGTAAAACTGTAATCGGTCACTGAGTTATGAATAGTGCCTTAGTTTACCCAAGGCACTGTTCGAGTGAAATACTGGTTGATATTCCACTTGGATAGAAATAATACTGTATAGCAGAGAGCAGATCAAAATTCCCAAGTTTCAACCGCGCATCAACGTAGTTCAAGGTTCATTCAGATCACTATTAGACTACCATTAGAATATGGAGCCCAAACCGCGTGCTCAGAGCTTGTGAGTGATCGTGAGAGCAGCCGCAATGTTCGTGTCCGGTCTCTCCCCTGTCCCACATACAAACCGTTTTTGGGTTCTACAGTTTCACACACGCCTAAATAATTCAAATTATCCTATGATCGATCGCAGCCCCAAACCCAATGAATGTAACTTCGGAAGAAATCTGTGTTGGAGCATACAGAAAAACATGTACCTTGACAAATTTATGAACTCTCTGTACTCCTCCTTCCTATTCATTCTTATCCGCGTGTCGCCATCTTCTCCTGTTCTTTTCTTCACAGACCATCTCCTCGTATTTTCTCCCAATAATGCTGCACGTCGAATCCTCTCGACGCAAGGTTTGCTGTTCCTCCAACTTCCATTGATAATCTTATTAAGTGCATTCCTCCATCCTCCATATCTACGTTTTTAACCTTGTCCGCTCTGTGTTCGAGTCGCATTACGTTTTTTTTCCGCTCCACCACCAACTCCATTGTGCATATCATCAAATTTGACCTTATATAAACCTGCACTTTTCTTGTACATATGATTATCTTGCACATATGATCATCCTTTGTGCATGCTTTACGAGGTTCGTGAAATATGCATTATTATTAATAATACTTGCATTCTGCATTTTGTGTAGTGTATCGTTTGCTCAGTCGCGACATTCACGACGCTTCTGAACCAAACGTTCACGAAGCAAGTTTTCGTCAACCTTAAAAAGGGCGACCTCTTCCTGCATGTTGCGCAAGAAACGGGAAAGCTTGAGGAAGCCCAGAGTCATTTCCTGAACTTCGTTTCCGATTTTCTTTTGGATACATAAGCCGGTACGGGTTAAGACACCGTCCCGGAGAGTCTTGTAAGGACGCTCCTCTGGGACGGAATTTATGGCGAGTTGAATAACATCTAAAGGTCAAATATGTAACACGTGAAGACATTTTTAATCGGATAGAGTGATGCCGCGGGTCGAGAACTGGGATTTAGCCACCGAAAACCACACGGAAGTATTTTATGATAAAGGGGCGGTCAGAAGTACCGTGTGCCGCTTAATTGAGGTGATTTTCTTTGACTCGGTCATGATTTGGGACATAACAGACAAAATACTGTCAAAAAACCGTTACAATGGTTTCCTAAAAATAACGGATGGAGCAAACCGGAAAAGTGTGTTCTAAAAATTCAGTGATTGTACCCCGCGTAGCGCAAAAAGATGTCA